GTCGCCGTCCATCCAACATCCGCTCAGAGGAAAGCCCTGGACCCCTCCAAGGAGTCATCCTGGTCGGTTTTCCAAGCCGCGTTCAGCCGAGGCGACAGCCAGAAACCTACGAAACGACGTCGTCGACGACGACGACGACGACGACGAGAACGACGACGACGACGACGACGACGCCGTCGGCTTGAAACCGGTCCTGGACCCCTCCCTGGGCCTACCCTGGTCGGTTGTTTCGAGCCGAGGCCAGCCCGTGGCGTCGAGAGACCCTCCAGCAACGCCGTCGTCGCCGTCGTCGTCGCCGCCGCCGACGCCGCCGCTAGCGTCGTCGTCGTCGTCGTCGTCGCCGTCGTCGCCGTCGTCGTCGTCGTCGTCGTCGTCGTCGTCGTCGTCGTCGTCGTCGTCGTCGTCGTCGTCGTCGTCGTCGTCGTCGTCGTCGTCGTCGTCGCCCTCGCACTCGCCCTCGCCCTCGCCGTCGCAATCGTCGTCCTCGACGTTGGCATCATCCTCCTCGTCTTGGCCGTCCCCTTCAGCCTGGTACGCCGCGGGGTATCTGGAGGACGCGAGGGCGAATAATGAGGAGGAGGAGGAGGAGGAGGAGGAGGAGGCGGAGGAGCTGGAGGAGGAGGAGGAGGAGGAGGAGAAGTGGAGGGGAGGAGGAGGAGGAGGAGGAGGAGGAGGAGGAGGAGAGGAGGAGGAGGAGGAGGAGCTGGAGGAGGAGGAGGAGGAGGAGGAGGAGGAGGAGGAGGAGGAGAGGAGGAGGCGGAGGAGGAGTGGAGGAGGAGGAGCTGGAGGAGGAGGAGGAGGAGGAGGAGGAGGAGGAGGAGGAGGAGGAGGAGGAGGAGGAGGAGGAGCGAGGAGGAGGAGGAGGAGGAGGAAATGGAGGACGAGGAGGAGGAGGAGGAGGAGGAGGAGGAGGAGGCGGAGGACGTCGTCGTCGTCGTCAGTCGGTCCCTGGACCCCTCCCGTGGACCATCCTGACCAGCTTTTCATCCCGCACGGACGTCTTACGGCCCGGGAGCCCGAGACGCGCCCCTGGAAGGCCAGCATCGGGGGCAAGCCTCCGGCACGATGTGTTCGATCCTCCGTCATCGTCGTCCTATACAGTCCTCGTCGTCGCCTCCCGAGGGGGCACATTGGGGGGGGTCTTGGACCAGGCAGGGGGGTGACGTCGAACTCGAGTCGGCGGTACATCGCCGATGGATCGGGGATAGGCCCCCGATAGCGAGTCCCGACGTTCCTGTGCGGAGTGGGCTATCGGGACCCTACCGGTGATCAGTGGGCGATTGGAGGTGGATGCATCTCCCCCTGAGCCTATCCCCCTCTGACGTGGCCCCTGATCGCCGTCGCAGTCGTCGCCGTCGCCGTCGCCGTCGCCGTGGTCGTCATCGTCACCGTCCTCGTCGTTGTCGTCATCCTCCTCGTCCTGGTCCCTGATCGTCGTCGTCGTCGTCGTCGCCGTAGCCGTCGCCGTCATCTGTCCGACCGAAGTCGCCTCGAAGTCGGTCCCCGAACCCCTCCCCGGGACCACCCTGGCTGGCTCTGTCGAGCCGAAGCCGGCCCGTGGCGACGAGACCATCCAGAAACGCCAAGAAACCTCCGAAACGTCGTCGTCGACGTCGTCGTCGTCGTTGTCGCCCTCGCCGTCGCCGTCGTCGTCGTCGTCGTCGTCGTCGTCGTCGTCGTCATCGTCGTCGTCGTCGTCGTCAACACGTCGTCGTCGTCGTCCTGGTCGTCGTCCTAGTCCTAGTCGTCGTCGTCGTCGTCGTCGTCGTCGTCGTCGTCGTCGTCGTAGTCGTCCCATTCGTCGTCCTAGTCGTCGACCTAGTCGTCGTCGTGGTCGTCGACGTCGTCGTCGTCTTTGTCGTCGTCCTCGTCGTCTTTGTCGTCCTCCTCGTCGTCCCATTCGTCGTCCAAGTCGTCTTCCTAGTCGTCGTCGTGGTCGTCGTAGTCGTCGCCCTAGTCGTCGTCGCGGTCGTCGTGGTCGCCGTGGTCGTCGTCGTCGTAGGCGGCGGCGGCGTCGGCGTCGTCGTCGTGGTCTTCGTCGTTGTCTTCGTCGGCGTCGTCGTCGTCTTCGGCCTGGTACGCCGCGGGATGTGCGCCGGCGTAGCCTTCGGCGCCGGCTTTGGCCCCGCCCTCAGCGCGAGGGCCGCCTCGAGGCAGAGGGCGGCCGCGGGGACTCCGAGGGGCCCTTCTTCGTAAGGGAGGGCAGAAGGCGGAGGAGGGCTGGAAGGTGCGGAGGAGGGCGGAGGGCGGAGGGGCAGGTGAGGGCGGAGGAGCGAGGAGGGAGAAGGGCGGAGACGGAGGAGGACGAGAAAGGTCCTCCTCCCTTTCCTCTTCCTCCTCGTCCTCATCCTCTCTCCTCCCTCTTCTCCCTAGAACACATCCTCATCATCCTCCCCCTCCTTGTCCTACTTATCATGGACCTCCTGCTCCCCTCATCCTGCTCATTCTCCTGTTTATCCTCCTGCTCCGCTTCCTCGTCTTCTTCTTCCTCCTCCTCCTCACCCTCCTCCATCCCCACACCTGATAAATGACTCTTCCCTGTCGCACCCCGAGACGGGTCGGTAGGGCAGGCTGGGCGTTTCGCATGAGACTTCCGCACCATTAATGATCCTAAAGATGACAAGTTGCAACAACTTCATGGATGGAGGGAGGGGCGTTTTCAACATGTTGCTCTTGTGTCAGCACCGTGTGCACTCGTGCAAGAAGTGTGCAAGAATTCCACGGATCGAGGTCGGGTCGATTCCAACATGTAGCTCTCGCCTTAGCGCCGCGCACGCTCGTCCTAACAAGTGGCAGCAATGTCAAGGATTCTTCTGGCTGCCGTCCCAGAAACTTTGTTCTGGCACGATTTCGGATTGCCAGGGCGCGATAGTCACGTTGATTTGCGGTGTTGATGTTCCAGGAAGTGCAACCTAGCACGATTCAAGATCGCCAGGACGCAACAGCAACGTTGATTCGCGGCGTTGAACACCCTGGAACGGTGATTTGGTATGGTTGGAGGTTCCGACGGTTGTATTCAAACGAGGCAGTTCCCGCAGTGAGAACAAATCTTTGCCAGGACCTATGAGGAACTTGGAGGCAGGGTCCTCCTCCTCCTCGTCCTCGTCATCCTTGTCCTCGGCCTCCTCCTCCTCCTCTCGTTCTCTCCCTTCGCCTGATAATCCTTTTCCTGTTCCTCCTCACCCTGCTCCCCCACCTGCCATTATTTCTTCTCCTCCTCT